TACATCAAAATATGTTAAACATTAAACTTAATCAACGAAGTGACAGTTCGTTTAAGAATATGTGGTTTCTTAAGAAAAACAAGAATAAAAACTTGATTCAGGCAAGTGAATACGAGTGAACACCACTAGAAATGTGTCAAAAAAATTGGTATTTATTTTAAAGGTCGTCACTTGATAACAAAATGAAGGGTGATTAGAAACTTGAATATCTTCTTTTCACGTAATTTTGAATGCAGCCGATTCCATTCCTTCTTGTGTTAAAATAATACATTTTCTTGTTTCTTAATATTCATAGTGATTTTATATATACAATCTTAATCATTTATTAGAATGGAAGCACCTTTATAAAAAATATTTTTCAACCTCTGGATTTTTTTTTTCATAAGTCTATTAGCAACCCAAATTGTATGAATGATTTTTCATTTTCTGGTGCAATTTTTTTTTTCAATATCAAACACGGAAAAAAATCTTATCACACCACTGGACTTATGTAGTTTTGAAGTGGTCAATATTACCTCAAAATGTGTTCCCACCAATCCGATTAAATTTAAGATGAGAAAGAAGTAGAAAGCAAAAAAGGTTTTTTTCCCACAAATCAAATAGGCCGCTCCCTTAGGCACTTCTTAACTGTAATACATACCTATTTCAGGAACTACTGAAATTATTCCGGTATCTTTTTTTTTAGATTCAGTATCAAATTCATTAGTGAGTGGCATCAGTGCTATGCCTTCCTACTTAGATGTCGCAGAAATCCAGAGAGACATAGAAGAAGATGACTTGATACCTGCTCAAGACATTATTGGTAGTCGACTGAACAATTCTGGTGACTTATCAAGTGACTCAGATTCTGATCACAAAAATATCAACTTTGAGTCATCACAGTTTGATGAGGATAGTTCTTCAGAAGACGAAAAGTTAATTGGGAAAGGTTTGCAGTTCAGTGCAGATGTGGACAATGACAACAAATTAACTACAAATTTTGATCTCACTGGAATGCTATCAAACGTTGCTTCAGTAGGATCGGCACTAGTAGCAAATGTACTGAAATCAGGTGTTCCTACTTCAACTGTAGAGCGAAAGACTAGTGGTAGCGATAGTGACTTCGAATTTATTAATTACGAGGACCTACAGTAGGACATTTTCAATGTTTTTTTAATGATATTAACAGATGTGATACAATTTAGTTTTTTAGACAATTTTTATTTATTATACATTTACTCTTAATATAGAATACAATGTGTGGAACATCTAACTGTGTTGATGTTGAAATTGTCACTTAATAAATGAACATCAGTAAGTATTTGATTGTTTGACTCAAACTTTTTTTCATTCATCTGAGTGGTCTTTGCAAGTTTGGAGTGTTGAGATTTTCTTACTATTATTTTCTATAATTATTGGAATGAATTCAAATGAAGTCGAAGCTCATACAGGACACCAATCGAACACTATTGTGTATAGTAAGTTTCAGCTCCCAATTCATGCAGAATTTTGAATCTCTTACTTTTCATTTGTCCTGTAACTTATGTGTCTGTTTTGAATTTTCTGTATACTTTGTATATTTACGAAGTCTTCGTCATAATAATATCACTTTTCATTTCAATTAAATCTAGTATCAAATTTTCTTTCGACGTCATTCCATTGCGCGAGTTGACATCGTTATGACGTTACCCGTTTTCTTCCAGCTGAAAGGCTAATGTATTCGATTCAATTGGTGAAACACCAAAAACGATTCTTTTCAAGAAGGCCAAGGTTAAAGGACACTATTTTGGATTTGAATTCTTAATAATAATAATAATAGATCTTTATTCCCAGAATGATACAATTAATAAGTGTAAACATTTACTGAAACTGAAAAGGCTGAAGATCAGTTGGTTGCATCAAAAGATGCACCTTCCTGTTGTAGTTGATAATTGCCCTTCCTGAATTGAGTGGAAATAATATTCTAGCTATCTTGGAAATTCCAGTTTTTTGCTTTGAGAAAGCTCCAGAAATTTAATAGTTCTCTGGCTAGCTCTTTTTGTGTTGGGTTTGCTTTCATTAAAATATATTTTTATGGTTCTAGGATGACGTGAGACGAATAGGTAGTTTATTATGGGAAAAGTGAAACTAATCACCTCACCATCGCATAGGCTAATAAGTTCAACTCGGCTAGAAGTACAGATCTTTTCTTTTATTTAATGGTGAAGAATCGTCCTTGGTGATGTACAATTGGATAGTATGCTACATTAATATTTCTGTCATGCGGCGAGAACCAATAAGGACAGATTAATGATGAATTTCAACTTATGTTTTTTGAACCGAAATACTATATTTCCATTTTTTATTAAAAAAACTAAGTGAAGTTTTCGATATAATTGTCTAAAAAAATCATGATTATGATGCAATAATGTTGTGACATTATTGCAGGTAAACAATTTAATTTATGATGTAATTTTATCTTGCAAAATTAAGTTCTCAGTCTTCCTCAAAATATCTTCGACTTCCATATCCTTTATTTGGTATAATTTTAAATATGCAGGTATGAATTTCACCTGATTACTGTTTATGGTCGGTCGGTAGCCAAGCGGTTCGGCGTGGGTGCTTTGTTCACTCACTCGAATTGTCTGCCGTGTTGGTCGGTGGTTCAAGCCCTAGTCTGAACGATCGATCTTCACTTGCTATCGTCCAACCCGTGTTAGGAATCACACGTTAAAACATAAGACCTCGTTAATCCTTAGCTCGCACAAGTTTCGACTTTTGAGGGTTGTCGTTCGTAGGGGTGCGACAGCTGGTTAACGGAAAAACAGATTTTAAACAGATTTTTTTAAACTTAACGACCAAACTCCACAGAATACATTCCCATCAATTTGTCCCATTCAATCTCCCAGCTTTATAAATGATGGCTACCAGTATTTCCCACAAAGTTGGGTGACGCCCACTACAATGTTATTTAAATTTGATGAAGAGAATGTTTTAACGAATCCATAGTGCTCTCTGGCCAAAAGCTGTCATTCGCAAATAAATGTGCAAGACATTAATGAATTATCAATAATTTACTTTTATAAGTTTGGTCATTCATTGTGTTTAAATATTAATACATTTTCCAACCTTGTTCTTAGTTAATGTTACTGAAAAAATGATAAAACAAATATGCAGGATTTACATCAAACACTTTTATGATACACATCAAGTTCTTTGGAAAATAACAGATACAACATAATACCATAGCAGTTTATTCATATCATTTAACTGAGTAATAGAAGTAATTCCCTACCAGGATGATGTTTTTAAAACCTCATTATACCGTAGTCGCGAGATAGGTATAGGCCGCGAATTGCCCGAGACCCTAAGCAAATGCTGTCGGTTTGTCCAGCTTATAAGGCCTCTCGACATAACGCGGTACTCTTACGGTATTAAAGAGACAACGGTGTTATATTCTAGATAATTTATTGGAACTACTCATTCTCACTCCTTGCTAATAAGCCTGTATAGTCGTCCTCGACCAAAGTAAAACGATACTCTTCATGGGGTTTTCAGCTCCTTGTGGGGCGAATAATCGTTCAAAAAGAGGTGAAAAAACTGATGAAATTTGAAATTTTCTCTTTGAACACCGCAGACTATTCAAACTTCTCTATTAAAATGGTTATTCTGATTGTTGGAATGATGCCTTTCCTATTCTAGAATTTCAAGATTATCTTTGCCAAAAAATTCAGAAGACCTTTTCTTGGTTCATTGCTTCTTATTCTCAGGGCACATGATTCTCAGATGCAATGTTCGCTCACATCACGGTGTAGGTAGTAGTATTGGCTAGTGATGCTGGCGTAACGTCCGAATGCGTTGGGACTTCTGGAATAGGGCCCGATCGGCACAACTTCTTAGGAAAGTAATAATAATAAAATTCGAATGATGTTTGTTCAGAACATAACTGACCTTAGTGGAATGATGCCCTCCCCTAATCTCAAAAATTAACCGGCTTACCACAATGCGGCAGAAATCCTGACTGGGCAAATGTAGAACACTGTCAATCTTGGCTCACTGTATTTATTCAGAGCACACAATTATCAGGACAATGATTACTCACCTAACGGCATGAGGAAATGTATTCAATCGTTAGTTACGGAGTTTGAAAAAATCAGTACTATTTTCAGTTTCTATTTTTTTTTGTCTGCATCCACGATCTAGAAAAGTAATTTATTTTTGGCATGTCGAAAATTACTCTCTAGTAATGAATGTTTGTTTATTAAAAACTGAGAAAGAGAAAAAGTATTCAGGGTATAGTAACCATTTCAACGCTTAAAAAAACAACATATTTTTATCATTATTTTCCCCTATGACCAAATTTATGGTCGTCCTATTGAGAGGAAATCGACGATATGTACTGAATATTGCATCAGCAGAAGCCGGTAGTGGTCAACAGAAGAGGCTGATCCTGCTCCACGACAACGCCCGTCCGCACGTTTCACAATTCACCGACCGAAAATTAAACGAATTGAGCGTCAAAGTTCTGCGTCACCCACCATACTCCCCAGACTCCTCGCCAACCCCTTTTCAAACACTTCGATAATTTTGTCACCGGTAGAACCTTCGCCAGTCAGGACCTTCGTCAACTTCATGGAATCCCGAGCAGCCTAATTTAATGCTGACGGATTTAATCGATTGTATTACATTAGCAAAATTTCAATGATACAAATGGCGCTTATTTCGAATGAATTAAATAAGTATTCACAGAGATATTACAGTTTGAAGTAGACTCATAAAAACGGACAAAACTTTTGAAACCCAAATATAGTATTGCATTCTTCAACACGCTTGAACACGTTTAACTGATGCAAGCGGTTTTTTAGTACAAATTCTCATGTTTTTAATATCAAACCGATATGGTTCGTCAATGACAATTAATTTAGGTGAATTTTTTGGTTCCCGAATAATTCAATTGAATTTTTCTGATACAATGATTACTCCCTGATGATTAATTTTTGGAATCCACGTAATTTAACACAATGCTATGTTGGAAAGTTTGGGAGGCAGAAGATTTGTAATTATTTTTAACTACACTACTGGAATAATTGGTCATGTCCGTTGATATCGATTGGTTTTCGAATTGTGTGTGTGTATAGCATTATTTCTGGGGAACTCGATATTCATTTATTTCTTTCTTCTTGAAGTACACTGTTTTTTGCAAGTCACTGTTGATACTGTAATAATAGTGGTCTGCTAGATTGAAATGTTCATATATTTCGAACCTTCCAAAGAGTTTCTTGCTTCCGTCAGAGGTTGAGTCTTGTTTGAAGATCAGTGTTATTATTAGATTGATTGGTGCCTCAGCTATACTTGTTTCCTTATAACAGTCAGTTAGTATGGCGCATATTTGGCAATACAGTCGATCATTACCTGTTAAAAATTCCATTTTCAGATGATTTAACAATAAGCTTTGCAGAGACTGGTTATTAGTCATATTAGGAAAAGCTAGATGAAGTTCCGGAAATTCACATAAGTTTTCGCTACCTCTTGAACATTTACTACAAAGTAAACAAGTGAGGATTTTTCCAGCAAAAGATTTACAAACACAAGGGGAGATAGACTGTACGGAATCATTTAATCCAGAGCGGTCAGGAGTATTGATTTTGCTAAAGAAGAAAAATGATCGGAATCAGGATCAGTTGATTAAAAATCAATTTGACTATACCACCCTGAAAAGCTCAATTCCGTTTGCAACAAATGTAAGTTACACTTATTTCAGTAAATGCAGCTTTCTGTTGTGAAGTGAAAAAAAAAAATCGAATCGATGGTATCGGTGTTTTTATTGATTATTTTTGCTGTGTCATCAGAGAAGTGTTCATTACTGTTAACATAATTAAATTAAAACTGTGACTATCTGCTATATATGTTCCAAAAGACATACTGCCCCACTTTCATCCGCATACAGTGAAAAGAATGATATTGGACATATCCATATTAACATTACAGAATGACAGGTAAATGAAGATAATGAATGATAATGATAATGAATGAATGAATGAAGATGAATTAACATATCTATTTTTAACTAAATTGGTGGATGTTGCCGTTACTACGTGGTTGGAAATCATAATGAAGAAAAGAGAATTGAAACTTTCTATGGTAGATAGATAGATAGATACTTTATTGATGTTAATATACTTACAGTATTCACACAAGTCAAACAAAGATACAACATAAAATTAGCTTATTAACATTATATTAAAATTACACACTAAAACAATCTTAAATAATTTCACGAAACTACATTTAAAGGTGAATACAATATAAAAATATTATCATGATTCGTCTTGTGTATTTATATACTAAGGTCATCCTGTAAAAATTCATCTATACTGTAGTAAGCTTTAGATACTAAAAACTCTTTTATTTTACGTTTGAATTCGCTAGTAGTTAATTTTTTTGTTTCCTCGTGAAGTTTATTATAAAATTTCACAGCCCAGTACTTCAGTCCATTTTGGCCTTTTTTAAGGCGACATGTATTAAAGATAATATCTTTTTTATTTCTAGTATCGTATTCGTGTCTATTTTCAAATGATTCATATTGAGGTATATGCGATTTTATATAGAGTAAATTTTCTAATATGTATATAATAACATCCCAAGCGATTATTTCCATCCATACAGTCGTAAATTAACAGCCTAGATGATAACATTATCGGATAAAGGGCACGACAGGAGTAAAGGTAATCGCATTGTTGACTCTTTAGCCAAGGAAGCGGCTGGACTAAGAATTTTAGGACCCAGTGGCACCTACGACCTGATGACTTCGACAATTGCGGAACTAGCCAAATGTTACACCTATACTCATTCCTTAAAAAGATGGGATAGAATCAAAGGATGCAATCTTGCCGGGATCACCTTGGGCGATCCTGGGAAGCTGGTGACGAAGAAATATCTGGCGATGACCAGGAAAAATCTAAGCTTAACAGTAGGATTTCTGACTGGCCACTGTCAACTAAGGAAAAACCTCCATAATATGGGGCTAGTGGACACACCTCTATGCAGGATGTGTGAACAGGAAGATGAGACTGTCAGGCATGTCCTATGCGAGTGCCCGGAATTATCGTCAATAAGAGAGTGTGTGTTCGGCAGTCTTGGCCTACACCTGTAAAGGAGATGTCTCCCAGTGACCTGTCCACCTTCCTGGAAAGGACAGGATGGACGATGACCTAGGAGGACAACTCCTCGGGAGGATGTATAATGTGTCACTCACCCTTCCTACTCTACAGATAAAGAAATTAACAGCCTACACAATTCAATGTTGCACAGAGCATTCTCACTGCTTTTGTCTGCTAACAATCTAGCTAGGGAAATTGAGATAATTACACAGATAAGTCATAATAATGGTTTCAACGCAGATACTATCCAGAAGTTAGTCAGAAAACAAAGCCGATCAAACACGGAAAAAAATCTTATCACACCACTGGACTTATGTAGTTTTGAAGTGGTCAATATTACCTCAAAATGTGTTCCCACCAATCCGATTAATCCACTAGATTCATCAGGTTTTGGTTTGTCACTATTCAGAATTCTATCGAAACATATTCATTGAATAAGTTATAAGTAAAAAAAGTTTTTCCATCACAATCGCACACTGCGGAAATTCATTTATCAATCAAATTCAGTTTTAGAATTTGGTGGCGTTAGTGACATTTTGAATATCATGTTATTTTACGATGCAAATAGGAAGGTTTTTTGGTAATTATGATTCTATGGAACAAACAAGCAGCATGAAAAAAATCTTCTCTTCTCCATATATTCAACCATCCAACAGTACCTAATTAGTTTATGTGAAATTCCTTTACTTCCACGAACACCATATATGTCTTTTGACTTATATATGGTACATATTAGGGCTATAAATGCAGTCGGCACAAGTGAAAAGAGACAATAAGTACTAACGATTCACACAGAAGTAGTTTTATATCCGTTGTTAAAAAATGTCCGACTCCCTATATTTTTAGGGAACTTTACATCACGAAGTGTGTCATTTGGTGTGCACTCAGTGCCTCTGTGAATTGAATACCAAAATTCATTGGATCTCTTTATTTCATCAAGAGTGCCGTGAATCGAGTTATTTCTGAAATTTCATTCATGGTTCTAATACAACGGACTTGTTACTATTCGGTTGAACGTTAGAAAAAATAAATGTATTACAATTCAACATTATCATGGTGTGCAGGCTTTCACGTCCTTAGGATTGAAATAATTTTTATGTTTATGTATTTCTATGGTCTCTCTGGTAAAACCGGAGGGTATTATTCGCAACTATTCAGAGAGATCATAAAAATACATGGGCGTTTTGAAAACATATTTTTCAATTTCGTATGAGCCAAGAACTTTTGGCAAATTACCCCCTACTTGGATAATTGTTTTCCCTTTACCAAGATTTTCATGTGCAACACTTACAACTGACAGCATGAAGCTGAAACTCATTATACACTTTAGGACTATTAGGTATCATATGACCCCCAAAAATTTAGTATAAGCTTTTGTTCTATTAATCTGAGGAACACACCTATTACTGTTACATGATTTGGAAAAGAAACTACTTTCAACATGAAATTCCAATAGATCCAGAATTACCAAGATAAAGTAAAGTAATTCCCTGATGAAATTCGAATATGGGACGAAATATATCTCTAACTTTTATATGCTACATTTATACTGGATCCCCGGATATTAAAGAATATTATACATGTTTTTGACAATTTCACTCCTTCATCTCAGACTTCCAACGCAACCTCAATGTGGCAAAAACTGTATGTATCTCTCCTTGACACAGTCATTAAGCTTATTTGATTTCTTTCTAGAGTAGAGTTTTCACAATCGTAACAGGAATATTAGAAAGCAAATTTCCTATTTGTGGCAAAGACATTTTCTACCTATTGAGTCACATACAAATTTTTGGAAATGTATCGTAGCCGGCTTTCTCTGGAGAATATTTGAAAATATTATAAACGTCCCTTAAAACTTTGTCCAATAGGAAACCAGAATGCAAAAACGTCAAACACTCCCTATGACACTCCTCAAGACAGTTCATTCATGGTTGCCGTTTTTACAACTAGATATAATATTGAAGGATGAGAAAGAAAAATGTAAAATCATTTGGTAGGATTAATTCAAATGCTTCTTTAAAGGTATTTCCTTCGCTCACTCTCAATAAAATTTCGAATACTGAAAAAGAAAAGGTTTAAAAAATAATAACAATAAAATGAAAGAAGTATTACCTTGATTTATTGTCAAAACTTTTCTATGTTTCATCCAGAAATATTCTTCAATTGGAAGTTTTGCATGAACTACTCCCTGCTCTACAGCTTTATTGTAGCATATACCCTGAAAAAAAATGTTTTAGTACTTAGAAAAAAAAAAAGGAAAATATTGAGAAAGAAATTTCATAAAAAAAAAATTGTGTGAATCTTGGATTGTGAACTTTCAATCTAATCTTTAATAAATATTTCATTATAATTTCTAATATGGAAACAACAACAAACGAAACTTTTGAAGAATAATCGACTCATCAGTCAATATATTTTCAATTTGAAAATTAAATATTATTTTATTATGAAACAGTAATTTTAATATTCTTATTTTCATCCAATTTGTCAACACTGCATTCACATATTTCAAGAGTGTGTGTGCTGGTTTAATACATTTCAACTAGACACCAGGTCAAGACAGAAATGCCAAAGAGTATTGCCTCATTTGTTTATAAGTTACACAAATTGCAAAATAATTGAAGTAAACTCCTGTATTCATAAACATATTTTTCAATTATATAAAGTGGACAGATTTCTTGAATGCTATTGAACAATACCAATAATTAAAAGTCATGTGTTGTGCCAATATGTAAAAGCACAACCACCAATGAACCGGAAAATATATTTTTTGTGATTCCAATGGATGTCCAAATGTGAAAGACATAGATGAAAGCTATGAAGTTATTGAATGAAGTTCGAGCTAAAAGCAAAGTATTTTGTTGTGAAGATTATTTTGCTGTAAGTACAATGATAATCTATCGTGTACATAAGTAGGTATATCTATATCGTAACCCTCTTGTAGTTTGCATTTGTTTGGTATACCTAAATATGTAGGTACTTTAGTCTATACTAGCCAGTGCCTGTTGCTCTGCGTGCATGTTAATGTAACTTATAGTATTTTTTCTTGTTTCAGTTTGAGAATGATTTGGAGATCTGTTAAATATAAACTGGTTGAGACCAGAATTAAACTTGAAAAGGATATAGTTTCTCACAAATTTAAATGTCAACAAGAAAATAATGATGAACCCAAAAGATCTGCAGTACAGAAACAGAAATAGTATTGTTGAAGTATTTGTTGCTTGCTGTGAAGACAAAACAATAATATCGGGATGCATGGGCAGTTCTTGAACGGCTTCTGGTTGCTCTTCACTCCAAATGCGGCAATTTTGCTTATTTACGTAGCCATTCAATTGTTTGCTCACTTGGTCGATTATGTAGACCATAAATCGGGCGTAAAGCGCGAAACACATTTCGAACCGAACACTGATTTTGGTAATAAAATTCAATGATTTGCAAGCGTTGCTCGCTAGTAAGTCTATTCATCTTCTCTATTCTATTCTATTCTCTTTGCACCATGTCTGAAATCCCGCGTGATCTGTCAAATACTAATGCATGAAAATCCTAACCTCAAAAAAATCACCCGTTACAATCCTGATCAACATTCAAATACTTTAGATATGGATAACTCAGAATGCAAAAAAACTTTTTTTGGAACTATTTACAAAAAGCTGCATATCTAGAGAGCCACAACTATTACCAAGTTCACCTAAAGAATAGTACATTCAGGCCTTTGACATAGGTGTTTCTGTTCCAGCTATAGCCTCTGAACTGAAATCACTTTATAGTTTCTCCATCTACAGCTGATATACAGTTTAATCTATCTATTCCATTTAGAAAAAACTATACTCAGGTTCAAAGCATTGTCAAATGTTTTGAGATTCAGATTGAGTAGCTTGTTAATGCTATAAAGAAAGCTCTCATGTGGTCTTATTACAAAGCCTGTATGTGACACAAATATTTGATATAAATAACACCCGATGGGCAGATCAACTTGATCACACTCTCGTTCCATTTATGAGATCCCCTTGAATAGACTCATTTTTGAAGAGCTTTGTATATTATGATCGTTTTTTTCACGGGTGCATTTTATAAAAATCAAAACAAAGGAGATTTATAGACAAAGTACTCTAAAAAACAAATCACGGATATTAGTTGAAGATATTGAATTGTAATGAAATTAATTACTTTTTGTGAATTATGGTCGACTAGCCCGCCAATAATATACACCTTATTTTGTTCAAGTTGTGTAAGTACATTCTCACTTTCACTGCTCAAATAAATAAGATCGTTCTTCGGGAATACTTTTATATAATCTTCTTTATGAAAGTTGATATCCCAATTTTCAAACCCGTGATGTTTGGCCATTTCCTTTTCACTTCTTCCATTGAAATTGCTCAAATGAAGCTGCATTGGGGCCTTGGATCTTCTATTTTCTGTATATACACGTAATATCTGTTTCACTGTTTTAGCCATGTCCTAGAATAGAAATATTGATGGAAGAAGGTATATAAGAAAATGGCACCTTTGGAAAATAGAATAAGCACTTAACAGAAACTTTCACAAATGTACCTATTTGTGAAGTAAGAAATATTCAATGATCTAATTGCAAGTATATAATTACCTTATCAATCATTAGATCATCAAAACCAAGATCGATACAAATATGAATTTTACACGGGCTGTCTTTCATTTTAAACATTTTGAGCTCTTTACGACTGGGGCCTAGATCTATATTGTTTAGTTTGGCATGAATTCGTTTCTGCTTAAGTTTCAAACGTTCCTTGAGCCGTTTTTCCTTTTTAACCTCCTCCCATTTCATACACTTTTGGTATTTTTTCATTTGCCTTTTACTCAGTTTTGAAACTTCTACACCATTGAAATATTTCTTTTCTTTTTCATTATCATCGGGTTCTTGTTCTAATTTTTTAGCGACCTCATTGTTTTCTTCATCAGAAATGAAACATAAACTTTCATTTTGATTTGTTTTCTTACAGCTGTTATTTTCCAATATTTCATCAGAATTTCGTTTGTGACCTTTATCATCAGGCATGGTTCTGATACTAGTGCTAGTATTAATACTAGTTACAACCAACACTAACTTTGATGATTCATTTCGGTGTAAGTAAATCAAGGAGTATTATTTGTATAATTGATTTGTTTATAAATGAGTGTAAGTCACCGACATAACGTGTAGGTTCCCATTTCTGTGGTTATGTTTTATTTTGGCGTGTATCAGTGTTGCCAACTGGATCAAACTGGAACTGTCAGGAATGAAATCGAATCATAGTCACTTTCAACCACCGATGCCACCGACATAACCTGTTCTGTTTTTTTTTTCGTTAATCAGCTGTCGCCCCCATACGAACGACAACTCTCAGAAGCCCTAATAATTCTCATAATATACAAATACTGCATGCCTCTCTTAGCATCGCTCCTTCAACCATTCAGCCTCTTACCTTCCACGATATATTTTTCAAACATATATCACCATCTAACATACAAACCATATCCAAATTCCTGATTGCATCCAACATAAAGCTGTAGTGATCAAGACAGAACTAATACTTGTGTGCATGCAGTGCTTCGCCAATCATGACCTGATCGTAGTGTCAATACACGTAACCGTAGTGTCCATACACGTAACCGTAGTGCATCACCTCACATTAGTGCTTACACTCTAATGCAGACGGACATTGCTTGTTAACTGACCTCAAACTACAGTCGAACTTTGTTATAGCGCAAAACCAAGTGGGGTTTGGGTCCAACTCAGATCCACTTTAGTGTGGGCTCCACCTGTAGTAGCAACATGATCCTGGAACCCCTGGCTGGATAGCCCTGGCAGCTGAAGCCATTANTTGGGGTAGAAAACACGTTTTCACCGCAAACACAGCTTGATAACAAAGTTCTGTTTATAAACAAGTAACATAGCAACAACCTAGCAACAAGAAAACTCTACTATAATCAACGGTACCTGATTCAAATATACCGGGAAGGTAATGAATTGGTACATTTTTCCGTTTCAAAAATGAACAAAATTTTATTGAAATCGGTCAGAAATAAAATTATCTATGTACAACGGGAATTAATGAGCCTTAATAACCTCAGGCAATTGCTGTCCCTCGGGCCAGAGGCCCTCGGGACGCAAACTTTGCCATCGGTAATTAAGGCCCTCCTAATTCCCTTGATACATAAATAACTATTATATGACCTGCTTCAAACATTATGTATCATAGGATTGAGGAAAACATTGCTCATCGCTCATTGCCGTCGCAGTCACAAAACATCCAAATATTCGTAGTTTCATATATCTGAGAAACTCGACCTGCAAGAATTTTCGCCGGCCTATAAGGTTCATTTGTAATTTTACGAGAAATGTTTTTTCATGCACGAAGGTTGAGGGTTGAATTTTTTTGTCGAAAATGATTTTTCTAGTCGAGATTCTTGTCTGGAAGACCCGACCTGCAAATATTTCTGCAGAGGTGCAAAATTTATTTTCAATTTTATGAGAATTGTGAAATTCTTAGGTGGAAGTTGAAAATTTATTTGTCGATCTGGTCGAGATTCATATCTGGGATACGAGATACCCAGCCTGCAAGAAATTCTGCCTTCCTACAATATTACAAGAGCAATGTTTACTGAGAACAATATGCTAACCTGCAGACCTGTAAAATAGTCAAACTCTACACTCTGCAATATGGTCACGAAGGCGACTGGAAAATTCCGCAACAAAATATTGAAAATACTCCACAAAGAAACTGCATGAGAATACACGACCAAGCGAACGATATGGAACCTCATGGGTGTCGCCGTCGCGTTGAAGAAGCTTTGCAACATTTGGTTTTCGATATTAATCTCATGTAGAATAATCTTTATTTATTTAATTTTTTTACATTTTATGAAGTTAAATTTTTATTTTATTTCATGTATCTCATTTACTTGATGATAAATCATTCAAATGAAATATGAAAAGTTTAATTTTGAATTGAACCTAAAAAAATGTGATATCATATTTTTGTCTGCTCTGAGAATCGAACATTACCGCCATTTCCAGTTCATCATCATTTTTGGTATAATACATATGCCAACAAGATCCAAAATAGCTTGCGGATGATATATTGCGATAGCGTTCCATTGTTAACCACAGCAAAGCACCACGACAGAAATTTTGTTTCAATGAGAACGTGAACTAGCGCTAGCGACCAGACATTCGGGATACTCAGCGAAACAGTACAGTATACTTAGGCTAAGAGGCGACGATAACGATACTCTACGATACCGTATATATTGCAAAATACTGGCATGTCACCGTATTGGTCGTGTATTAACCTTGAACAGTTGAAAACCGCGACGTGTGGCACCTCAGCACTGTACGTTGCACAAGTGACGTAATATCTCTATACATTCCGCAAGTGACGTCACATATCTGTACCAGTGTATCAGTAGCATTGTATGTCGTGACCGGGCTTCCGTACTTCTCTTTCTCTATAGATTTTTCTTGGCTTTTGCTTCCGTACGGCGCATTTAGCCACCCGGGCTTCCGTACTTCAACCTAGGCAAAGTATACAACACCGGAGCGATTTTCTTAGACATCTCCAAGGCGTTTGACAGAGTCTGGCATGATGGACTTCTGGCCAAAATGATCAACTTTGGCTACACGAAACCAATGGTAAGACAAATCGAGTCTTTTCTGGTTGACAGGCGATGCCGCTGCAGGGTAGAACAAAAACTCTCAACGATGCGATTACTGGAAGCAGAGGTCCCACAAGGTGCAGTCCATTCGCCACACCTCTTCTTGTTATACACAGCAAACGTGCGCAAGCCATAGAACAACTTTAACAAGTTGGCGCTCTGCTGGCGAGATCAACAAGCCAAGTTACTTGAAGCAACAAGCAGATAGATTAGAGGAGTGGGCCAACCTGTGGAAGATCAGTATAAACCCTGAAAGGAGTCAGGAAATACTGTTCACCCGGAGGATGGTACACCCGGAAGGAAATGTCATCTTCAACGGACAGGAGATTCCGAGGACCAACGAAGCTAGACACTTTGGGGTCAACCTAGACGAAACATTAACGTTCAGATCTCACGTACGGCAGAGAATAGGAATGGTGAGATCTGCCCGACAAAACCTATTGCCAATAATAGGTCGAAGAAGCAACATGAGACTGAAAGTGAAGCTGCTGATGATAAAGACCGTATTGTCAGATTTACCTGCAGGTTGTCACGCTGCCCGTATCGAAACAAAATTCTGCTAGTAGGTTTTAGCTAGAATGTCCTTGTAACTTGATTCCTGTTCTCTGAGGAAGATTGAACAACGAATTTTTTGATATAATTCAATGCCCGTCATGTCACTAGAAAGGGAAGTAGTTGACTACTAGACTAGAAATGGGTGAAACATCGGTCGGCAACAACTATTGTTTCTGAAAGATTTCCCAAAAGATATGTAGCTAACGAATCAATAAACCCAACCAAAGGTGCATGGAGACACTGTAAATTTACAAATATATCCTGGTTAGAATATGGTCTTTCCCAAATTCTAAACATACATTGCACTTTTGCTTATCTCAACATTTTCCATTTTTATGATTCCACAAGCGAAACGTCGTCAGTCTGATCACTGTCAATTCACGGTGCATCCAAAAACTATTTACTATGATTAGATCATGCGCGCTGTTATTTTTTACCAAAAAGTGGTAATAGTCGACTACTGGGTCTTTTAGCATTATACTTGTGGTCATGTGGTACCGACCCATCTCTAGTTTTTAGGTTATATTGCTTATTTATGTTGATCTGTCGGCATTCAAATATTTTAACTCATATATACTTTCAAGTAAAATGCCGAATTGGAATCAAATACAGTCTCAACTGAGGCATCCTGCTAACCCAGTAGTCTTCTTTGATATTTCTGTAGGCACTACTGTGAGTTCATCACTAGTAAATATAATATAAAATGTTCATTGTCAATATTTTTTAGGAAATCGGAAGAATGATATTTGAGTTATTTGCCGATGTTGTTCCTAAATCAAGTGAAAATTTCAGGCAATTCTGTACGGGAGAGTTTCGAAAAGATGGTGTTCCATTGGGATACAAAGGTGCAAGTTTTCACAGAGTAATCAAAGACTTTATGATACAAGGTGGTGACTTTGTGAATGTAAGATAATAAAAGTTAGTACTGAAATCATTCATAATTGGACAATTTCACAGGGTGATGGAACTGGAGTTATGAGTATATACGGAGGAGGCACATTTACCGATGAAAACTTTTTACTAAAACATGATACTCCAGGATTGTTATCTATGGCAAATAGTGGAAAAGATACAAACGGTTGTCAGTTCTTCATTACATGTGCAAAGTGCAACTTTCTAGATGGTAAACATGTAGTTTTTGGAAGAGTGATTGATGGACTTCTTGTGATGAGAAAAATCGAAAATGTTCCAACTGGTCCCAATAATAAACCAAAAATACCTGTTACAATTGTACAATGTGGACAAATGTGAAATAGGAAATTCAATCAAATTGTGCTTTTTTTTAAGTAAATGAAGATATCTTAGTTCGGGGTTGTTTTATACCGGTTTTACTTGATCTGAATATAGTGAAGAATTGATCTGACTGATTTTCAAGGAGGCTCATGATCTTAGGCTGTGATATAATTGGAGTTACATGCAAATCAGTTTTCAACACTTCTATGCAACACTACAATCCCTAAATAACTTGGTTCAGTACTCTATTTTTTCAATTCGGTTCAGCTTAGTATAAGGAATGAATGTTTCTCATAAATTTCAAGTTATATGTTGTCTCATATTGGAGGTACCATTGTTGCAAGGTGTTGGTACAAATGTCAAAGTGACATTCTGTATAGGCATTATTAGGAATAATTACATTTGTTAATTTAATAAAAATTATTTAAAAACAAAAATTTCTGTATTTGAAAGATAATACAGATTTCAATCATTTGATACGTGTTTGAGATAAAATTGGCCCACAAAATAATTTATTGAAATCCTCCTCCCTTGAAGTGAGATTAACTTTAGGTGTCTTCAATGAATTAAGTGAATAAATAGTGTTGTATGCAATAGATTATTTTTGTTTCTACAATACAGGGTAATTCAAATTCGGCTACAGGAGATATGTCGAAGCTTAAATTTGGGCAAAGTTGTGTTTTTTATGCTTGACAAAATACTGTTTGAAACTTGGAAAATTCTGAGTAGGAAATAACTGAACAACGGAATTTTCGTTTTCATTTTTTTTCTATCGTTATTTGATAACCAAAAACACATTTTCATTGATACTTTTTTTCAGCTACACGTTTTCATGTTCAGAATTACTATCCAATGTTTCGTCTTCTGGCAATCATTTTTTTTCTACCATGAGCGCCATATTTTTTTTTCATACAGAAAAATAGTGCTTCTTATTTTGATTTCATTGAGGTATAATTTGTTATGATTTGCTCTTCTGAAACCACAGGTATTAAAAAAAAACAACTTCATCTGAGACGGTCATGACTCCATCGAACAGTTTTGTTTAAAGAACACTAGTTTGCACAAATACTTCAGTCGAAATGTCCTCATTCTCAAATGAAGAAAAACGAGATATGTTGAAACTTTGTTATAAATTTGATAGGACTAGTACGAAAACAGCACAAATTTATTTTGAATTATATCTGGAAAGACAACAGCCGGATAGAACATTTGGAATTTTGGACAAACACTTGGCTGAGTACTGTATCTACGTTTCATAATCCAAGAATGAAGTATGAAAGCAGAATAGAACAAAATACTAGAAATAACTTATTAGCCGAGGTAAAATAATTTTTCTTTCTATATTCGAAGAAGTATAATTGTTTTTGGTAATAAAGTCAAATATACCCATACTAATCAAATCAAAATCAACATAATCTTGCGGATTTACACCCTCTAAATAAACTTTTTTGTCTAGACTGAAATACAGCTTGTCAAATCTAGGAAGAGACTTGAAAATTCTCCCTCTCTCGCTCTTATAGTTTTCTTACGAACGCACATCTAGCGGGCAGGACCATAACGGAATTCAGAAAGCTCTTCCTACATTTGACAAGCTGTAACTATTATTGTTTTTGTCACTGTCACCTTGTAAAATTCATTTCACTTCATTTAGATGAATGTTTTTCTGTTAGTTTGTAATTTGCAACCAATTGTATTCAGTTTTCACATTATTAAGTACTTCAAGTTTATGTGAAGTGACGGCTACTGATGAATAGCACTAAAGATTGTTCTTAAAAAAATTAGGTTTCTGAAATATAGATTTTGTATTAAACCTTTAAAAAGTTTGACAATCCAATTGTGATACCACAACCATTTAATCTTCAAGAGGAAGTTTACATCTTCCTCTTGAAGATGATTACTTGGTGATCAAAACACGTGTAGAGGTATTAAAGTATCGGTTCGGCCATTCTGAACATCTTTTGGACTCCTTTATTCAATAAAAAATTTTTATTGTTCATATTAAAAAAAATTGAGTAAGTGAATAATGCTAATGTACTAGCGATTAGTTTGAATATTCGAAACACAAATTTGAGTAAGTGAACGTAAGAAAATACATTTTTTTGTGGTTACAATTACTAAAACTTGATAAAATTTGTAAAATATCAGTTTTTCGTATAGTATACCTATGATAAAAAATGTAGTGAAATGTTGAAACATTTCATATAAATGAAAAAATACAGGGTGTTCCATTTGAAAAAATTGAATTGTCTGTATGAAAATGAATGAAATTTGATCGGTTTTACCGAGCACCCTTATATTGTTTCCGAAAGTTATTCCAGAATTTATCATATGAGTGTTGACTAACTATTCCTAAAAAAATCCACTTAATTGCTGTGGATATGTGGGTGGTGAATTAACAAAATAGGTTTTTCTGGAATGACTTGGCAATGCCGCAATGGAAATTCGAAAACAAAAATTCCTTAGAGAGCTAAAAAAAATATGGAATCGAATTCATATACTGCGTGTTCTATTTGAAAAAAATATAACTTTGGTTGGTCACGCTCGGCTGAATCACCCAGTATGAAAGAAAATAATTTTGAAAGATATTATTTATTGAAATGGCTGCAAAAAAATTGAACACTTCGAAAAATTGTTTCTTCTGATAGCAATGGACCGAGGGAATCTTGTTGACTCACCCTGTATATGAGACCTGTCACCAAACTGTGTATTCTTTCAGTCAGGAGATGGTACACTCACCTTGCAAAGTCTGCTTGTGGGTGGAGAATGTTACTCATTCCAATTTGTATTCACTTATTAATTAATTGTATAATTTGTTTGATAAATATCATAGGTTGTCAGAATTAGACAGATGAAAAAAATAACTGTTGAGCCAAGACTAAATTCGAAATTGTTTGAATTCGTATTTGAATTGCTTAAGTATTTTACAAATTGAATCATACATAGAGTGTTGCATTTTGAATAAAATATTTGGTATTGGCCACTATGACATGATACACATTGCCCCAAAATGTTTCTATTGAAAAAATGCACAAGCAAAAATACCAATCAAATCCATGCAGTTGAACATGCCCCCATTTATATATTGACTTCATTCCATTTGGCTGATACATACGGTATTATGGTGGTAAAGTACTAGAGAGAACTTGTAAGTGACTAGGGTAGAGGTGGTCATAAATAACAAGGCAAAATTATAAAAATATACTCCTAAAAGTAACTTGTGAGCGAAAAAGACAGTTACAAAAAATTATTCAACACATACAATTCTAGTCAAATTTTACAATTCCTAACATATTTCTTTATTTTGTCATTGTAGGATTTCTCAATAGCTGCCACCTAAAAAAATGAATGAAATTAAATATGGGAAAACAGTTTCTTTATATTTGTTACCTCAGAATCAATAGCCTTCATTTTGAATAAGATACCATCACAACTTCTTTTGTTTGCTGTTTCTATTTTCAAACAATTGTTAACAAACTCTTGAGCCCATGACTTCCAATTTTCAGAATTTTTCTAAAACAAAACAAAAAAATAATCATAACAATCATATCAAGAATAATCATCAACAATTTCACCTGAATTTTTTTCAAATCGTGCTTTTGGTTTTGAGAATACTGACATACTCGTCATTATAACTGATAACTATAACAATGTTTGTGAAACCAAATGGTATTTCAGTGTTTTGTTTTCAACTTCTCCGCTTGACAGGTGGAATTGGCCCTACGACCGAAACCGAATACAGTTTCGGTTTCGGTCGTAGTTTCGACAGGTTTGCTGCCGAAACCGAATCTAAACCGAAACCAGTTTTTTTGCCGAAACTCGACCGAAACCGAACTTTCGGTCGGACACTAAACATTTCATCTAATCAGTTAATCATGCTTTGTATATATTGTTCTCTTTCTTTTTTATTTTTGTTGAATGATATGTTGTCAAGCACTTTTGTCTACTGATTGTTCTTAGTTGAGTGGAAGAAAAGCTATACTAAACTCCGCCAAGTGAATAAAGACCCTTCATTATTATTATCATTTCAGACATTCTATAATGCAATGGAAATTGTATCTTGAGGTTATTGAAATTCATTTATTCATTCTTTCATGAAAAACTTGTATCTTCCAAACAAAAATGTATATACTGTATATTGCTAATGATGAAAACTAGCCGTTTTTTAGTTTTCACCACTTAAGATTTGAAAGTTCTTGAATATACCATTCATTTCCAGAAAAAAAGTTATACATAATAATAGGTGTCTTCTGATGAGTTAATCATAATTTTCACTTTTTCATTTGGTTGGATTATAATAAAATTTCAAAGCAAATTTGTATGATACAGAAATACTGCCGGTACAGATCAGTGTAAAGTTCCATTCGACTGAAAAGGTTGGTGATCAATTGCATATCTTAATATCAAGTACCTTATTTTCTTCTCTGAACATGTTTTCAATGATTTTTTCCCTTTGATTTGCTCGAGTTTTGTAATTTTTGAATTCGTTTCTCATATTATCAAGTTGCTTGATCAGATCTTCTCTGTCTCCTTCAAGTGCATTGATTTTCACTGTACATTCATTAACTATAGTAGCTATATATTCTCGGAATTTATTTTCTTGATTTTTAACAATCTCGGCTTGTTCTTTGTATAATTCATTACTTGAAGTGCACATCTTCTTGTACTTTTTTTCAATCTCTTTAAGCTTCTTAAAATATTCTTCCTGAATTTCTTCTCTAAGTCTGATCTCTATTGTCAAAATATCTACAGCTGAAAAAAGTTGAAGAATCATTATTTACTTTTGACGAATCAATAACCGCATAAATAAAATAGTTATTGAGTGAAGAAAATTGAGGTAAAAATAAATTAAAGTCCATTCTAGTATGGGAGGCGAAAACTTAAATTTTAGGAGTTGAAATTAGTATTTACATTCAGTTTTCTGTGTAATATTTTCTTCATTTCATTTCTTTGCTGCTAGCGCAAAAATGGTTAAGTCACATTTCCCGCATAAATAGTCGGCATAGGTTGTTATTTATGCTAGATTTTACTCAACTTACAATAGTTGTTTGTATGGTATGGTATATGTGTGTATGCGCGCGCGCGTGTGTACATGAGCGCATTTATATGTTGTATGTTTGCATTTATGTATGTACGACAAATCACAAAAGATATCAGGCAATTTTTTATGCATCCTCATGATATGATAAGATATTTATTCACCTTCAAAATTTCTGGATCTAGTGTCATCAATATGACACTAGATCCAGAAATCTTCTTGTGCCTGCTGTAAGTTTTACAATGCAGGTACACAGCGGTTGCGGCGGTACCGGCCGGGGGGCCGGCAGCGTGTGCTTATAAATAGCGCGTCGAAGGCCGCGCTTCCCCCTACAGCACTTTATGATCAGCATCGATCGTCACGTGTTTATATGTATATTTAGTATCAGCACTGCACCCGTGCGGAAGGAAGTTTTTTTTTATATTTCGTTGACTGCGATTGATCCTCCATCTGATCCACTTCCAACTGTAATATCTCAGTGAATACTTATTCAATTCAATCAAAATAAGTGACATTTGAATCAGTGCACTTTTGACAATGTAACACAAAATTGAAAATTGTGTGCACGGTATTCAATGAAGTCAACGAAGGCTGCTTTTGCCTGGTGCTGTTTGACGAAGTCGAAGAGCTCAAAAAGATGGTAGTCGGTTGGAAAGAGATCTGTGAGTTTAGTGGGTAAGGCGACGAAATAAGCATCGACCTTAATTCGTTCAACTTTCGGATGGTGATTTGTGAAAAGTGCAGACAGGCGTTGTCGTGGAATAGGATCGGACCTTTTCCGTTGACCAGTATCGGCTGCTTCTGATAATTTTCGTCGATTTCCTTAAAATAGGACTACGCTGTTGAAGGATTGGTCCGGTTGCAGAAAATTATAGTGAATCTCACCAGTCGCTAACCACCATACAGTAGCCATGGTTCTTTTGAACGTTTTTGCCTTTGGGAAGTGTCTTGGTGGGTCATCGGTGTCCAACCACTGTCCTGAATGTCTTCTGTTGTCGTAAAGGATCTATTTTTCACCACACGTGACGATTCGATCCAAAAAGAATCATTTTGGTAGCGCAAAAGCTAAGAAGAAAAAAAAATGACCCCACCAGGGTTCTCAAATTCTCGTCCTGGATTACTGTCCTTCGAACACTTCGGGGCTCGTCTTCGAGGTTAAAATCTCCGGAACAAAATTTCACAAACCAACGTCGAATAGCGTCCATCACCACCATCATTGGTTAGTTTTTCGGGCTGTTTCGGTAGCGCTTTATTTCAATCTGAATTCGTACAGACAAATTGGCCAAAAATCGCTTAACGACATTATAGAGTACACAGTGGTTTGGAGAAGAACTCCCGATAATCTGTTCAAAAAAAATCTGTTTTTCCGTTAATCAGCTGTCGCGCCCATACGAACGACAACTCTCAGAAGTTGAGAAACTTGTGCGAGCTAAGGACTAACTCTTACCTTTTAACGTGTGATTCCTAACAAAGTTGCAGAATCATCCCACCTTCTACCAGATAAAATATCTGGTCGAGGCAGGAATCGAACCCACGGTCTTCCGATCGTGAGTCGGGCGCACTACCACCACGGCCAATTCCACGACAACAACATTGACAACACACACTGTAGGATGAACAGTAGTTGTTTGGAAATACATACTAATTTTGCGATTCAAAAGTAACTGGAGAAGGACGCTTATTAAAATTGAGTATTATTTTATACTTTTTTGTTAACATGGTATTTAGTAAAATTTTTCTTCATAACCCACTACGCAACCAAAATTTTTTTCTAATTCCATAGTGAAATGAGAATTGTGTTTTATTGAAATTTTTACTGCATACCGATTTTTCAGTTGCGTTTACTTTTATGAGATTTATATTCACAATATATATTAAAATAGTTTTATAGTAACGCGTCCCCTGCGAATCCTTTCAAAATACAAAACTGTATGTGAATGGTATGAGATCTGAATGTGGAAAAAAACCTACCCTGATTATCTTCAACATTCAAACTTCTTTGTTGGTCTATTTCTTGGAGTTCCCTCTCGAGATTTCTTCTCACATTTTTTTCAGTTACATCAGCTTCTTGGTTTTGCAAATTGAAAATATTCTTTTTTGCAGTTTCAAGTTCCAAGTTTGTGTGTTCAAGAAGTTGTAACAATTCATTTTTGGTATCTGCAGCTAGCTTCAGAGCAGCATCTTTGGATGAAAGTTGGCCCTTTAGTTCAAATATTTCGGTCTCAGAGTTTTTCAAAGAATGACGTAAGTCTTCAATGAGCTTTTCTTTATCCTTCAATGTTGCTGTTATTTCTTGAAGTTCTATCTTTACACTTTCCAGAATTTTTTCAGTGTCCTCTAATCGATTTTTATAGTTAGTAACTTGAGACTGGTAAGTGCATTTTTCTCCATCACTGAGTGTTTTGAAATTAGTTAGTTCTTCAACAGTTTCTTCCAACATTTTTAATTTATTTTGTAAATCATGTTTTTCAGCTTTCATGTTTTCGTCATGTTCTTTGTGTTGACTAATCAGTCTCGAGTTCTCATTTAACAATTTATCGATGTACTGCTTCAAACTGTCTATTTCGGATGCGGAATCATCCAAATCTTTTTGAAGCTTTTTCAAGTGATTGTCGAAATCATTTCTTTCTTTATCACTTTTCAATTTCAGAAGATCAAGTTCTGTTCTTATATCTTTTTCAGCATTTTTTTCGGACTTCTGGATTTTCTGAACAAGTGACAGTCGCCTTTCTTCAGACCGATTCAACTTTTCTTCGAGTTCTTTAATTTTTTTCTCTGCTTCTTTTAAATCTTCAGTCATTTTTTCCAGTTGCGGTAAATTATATTTGTGAGAAAATTTCTCAATGTCATTACGAGTTTGAGATAACATTTCTTCCATTTTCTCCAACAAGTTCCGATTTGTAGAATTCAATGTCAAAATTTGTTGATTTTTGTCTTCTATTGTTCTTCTATAGTTCTGGAGATCAGTTTGCATTACAAGCAAACTTTTTGTGTGGTCTTTATTATCTGAAAGGTAAAATTCAATTTTAAAACCTTATAGAATGAAAATATGAAAAGCTCATGTTGATAATCAAATAAATACGACCTAGAATTTCACCTTCATTTAATTAAAACAAGTTTTAATCCTGTAGGAATGTATTAACAATTTTATATAATGGTGAACATAAGACATTTGAGTAAAATAAGGCCATGATAGTATTGTGTATAGCCATTTCTTCAAAATAAAAAATGTATCTCCGGCCGTGAAAATTTACATTCTTTGAGAAAATATACACAGTTATTTATTGTGTATATTTTTGACCTTTCCCCCATAAATAGAATAATATTTAATATTTGTAGTCGTATTATATGCTGTAAACGTCTCAAAAATAGGGCAACTAATAAAATATTGAGTCCACCACAAAAAAAATGTCGTTTAAAGAATATGAATCTTCATATCTCACAACTCATAATTTTAATGATTCCAATACTACTTATAAAAGTAAATTTCACAAGGATGATTAGTTGCTTGAATATATTGAACAATACCTAATGAATACACGAAAATTCTCAAATATGCTAAAAGTAACTTTTATGAGAAGAAACCAGGCCAAACGCAAATAAATTCAGAGGTAAAGAAAAACATTTTCAGTTGAATATTCTAGCAGATGGTCTACTAAACCAATGTTTCTGCACAACTGAAAACCTAACAATAATACTCCAACTCCTTATGATCCTCTCAATATACTTTAAAAACATATTTGTCAACGATAAATTCCCTTTGTATCAAACAGATGTTCTAAAATTGAAAGAGACAAAAAGACACATTACAAACAAAAAAGCTCTGGTAGTTGATGATATAACAATAAACATATTTTATGATCTTCCTGAGATAACTTTGGCTATTTTTCTACTTTCGTCAAAATATCTGTGATTATTCCACTATAGAGAGGAGGCGATCATGAAAAATTCTCAAATTTTCGTCCTATATGTCTTATTCAGGGAGTTTTTAATTTCTGATGATGTCATAGTGGCCCGTTTGTTCAAAGTATATAACAATATCAACAATCGTGATTTAGCTGCAGTAGTCTTTTGTGAATATAGAAGTGGTTGAATCATATCTTACAGCTATTACAAACACTGGAGTCCCACAGGGATCTATTCTTGGTGCCATCATCTTTCTTTTGCTTATAAATGATCTGACATCACTAACGATAAAGGGTAAATCCATGCTATTCCCAGATGAGCACACCATACTATGGCACAGTAAAAATCATCTCCACAAAATCATATTTTCAGACATTAAGAGTATCAAGGACTAGTGCAATGCTAATCTTTTATCTTTAAATATGACGAAAAAATTCTGGGGAGTATGTTCTAGGACCCACTTGAATTCTGTGTTTGTACTTCAAAAAAACCAAATGAAATGAGACTTTTGTGGACTTATATTCAGTACAAATGAAAGTTTCTCAGTTTATGCTATTTTCATATCAGAAACGGCTTGTTTCGTTTGTTTGTTAAACGAACAAAGAAACAAATTTCCTATTTCACTCGCCAGACTCTCTACCTATACCCACCTTAACAAGTTCAGCAATTTACAAAGGCCTAATAATATATATTCATCTGCCAAACGACGTTGAATGTACAGAAACCCCTGAGGAATTCTGAATCATAATCAAAGTTCTATTCTCTGATGGACCCTATTAAATAGTTTGGACGAATTATATGATGATAATTTCCATTAACATTTTCCTTGAATTTCTAAGCTGAACTATATCGTAGCCCAAGTTAATGTCAAACTGATTGATAAGTTTCATTGAGTATCTGCCTGCAGTAGTCTTACAAACTGTGTATTTTCTGATTACTTATTTATTAATAGATTTCTAATTTTATACTAAATGTATGAACCTTTACATTTTTAGTTACTCACAGTCGCTTTGTCTGCTGACAATAAAGTTTATTATTAATTATTATTATTATTATCGTAGTGTGCGTTGGTCAGGCCCTATCCCCCAAAGCCCCGATACATTCGGGAGGGCGCGCCAGCATAATCAACCAATGACCACTCCCCACACCGTGGGG